GTATTCAAGTATTCAAGTATTCAAGTATTCAAGTATTCAAGTATTCAAGTATTCAAGTATTCAAGTATTCAAGTATTCAAGTATTCAAGTATTCAAGTATTCAAGTATTCAGGTATTCAACTATTCAACTATTCAACTATTCAGGTATTCAACTATTCAAGTATTCAACTATTCAAATATTCTACTATTCAAATTTTAACTTCTCAAGTGTTCTGTGAATATTCAGTGGGGAAGCGCGTTCGCCACCTAACATACCTTTTATTTCAGCGTCGCGGCGTGGAGGTGCTTCGCGCCCCCACGCCGCGACCCATGTACGTCTCTGTGTACACCATTATTCCTACTCAGTGCTGCACATTAGCTGAAGCTTCTCACATACTTCTTGTAGCATCCCAGATAGTGTCTGCAGCATCTCAACCCAAAGCTGTAATATCCTAGGAAATGTTTGTAGCATGCCAGGGGATGCTTTTATTATTCTAGGTGATACTTGTAGCATCATAGGTAATGCTTGTAGCATCCTATGGAATGCTTGCAGCATCATAGGGGATGCTTATAGTCTCGCAGACAATACCTGTCGATATTAGGTGATTCTAGTGGCATTCCAGCCGTTAACTAATTGAGTACTTGAATACTTGAATATTTGAATACTTGAATAGTTGAATACTCGAATAGTTGAATACTTGAATACTTGAATAGTTGAACTAATAGTTGAATACTTGAATAGTTGAACTAATAGTTGAATACTTGAATTCAACTTTCAAGTTTGACACTACTGTGATAATACAGAATTCTTGAAATCTGATTGTGAGAATTCTGTCACCTCATAAAAGGCAGTAACGCGTATTTACACTGAATGATCAGTGAAGGGAAGACACGTTCGCATGCTGTTTCTGACATGTGTTTTACAATGTTCAGCAATAATTAGTTATTTCCCTTTCTTTTTAGGGAAGTGAACACAAGATATCGGAGATATTGTAGTTAAGAGTATGTGTTTTCTTAACCCATACTCACACCCCACAGAAGCAGGGTTTAGATTCAGTGCATATCTATGAGTGTTCGTCAATTGTATACTTTTAACAGTAGGAAATTAGAATTCAAATTGAATCATTTTTTATATTTATTATCGAAAAAAAAAGTATAGCGAACAGAAAAATGATATCATACGATTATTACTACATTATTCAAAAATTTGTCATTACTGTTCAAAATTTTTCGAAACATTTTAATTCAAATGTTATCCATTAATTTTTCTTTTAATTGATTGAAACAAAAGAAAAAAGTTATTTATACCGTTGGAAAATTATTTTGATGTTTTATTGATGAACGACATAATGGACATATATGACGTAAAAGAATTTTAAATTTATATCGAAAATATTTACTAAATATATAAAATAAAATTGGATTAAAAGCTGTTGATGATAATGCTAAAAGAATTGTTATAATAAAAAAAAGACGATGTTCATAAAGATGATGTGAATGATTTATTTGTGTATAAATAAAATTAATTTGTATTGGTGAAAATGCAATAAAATAAAGTATAGCAACAATTAATAACATAATAATAGCTTTTTTACGTGCTATATTCGCATTATTAGCTCGTGATTGTATTATATGACCTTGAGGACATGGTGATATTGTTGGTGATAAACTTTTTTTATTATTATTATTGTTCATTAAAGGTAATGGTAATGAACAGCTTAATTTTGTATCTGAACATCGATGAAAAGAATTACTTATCATTATTTGTTGTACTGATTGAACATGACAATGAGCTTGTATAGTACGATCAATCAAAAAAATTTTACGACAAATAATTAAATAAAGAATAGTCTATAATAGATTTAAAGCAAAAATATTATTTTAATTATCATTCATAAAACATTACTTATGGTTAAGTCTTTGAAAATTACTCTAGATCTCATCAAATAGGATAGTCATTATTACTAATTCCAGTGTCATTGTGTTCTAGAGAAACAAATTTCTCTAAAAATGACATTACTGTATTTTATGTTAGAAAAGAAAGATTTTTATATCTCAGTTAAAGAATATTTCCCCATCAGCTGATTTTCTTTTTAAAAACTCATATTACGCACGGTTGAATATTATAGAAAGAAGAACTATTCGTTCAATTACTTCTTCGATTATTTTTGGTAGCATTTTTGTCACATCTCTGATCGAAAATGACAGCTTACTCAGGATGTTTTTACCTCTATGTCATTCGTGTGTTCGTTGGCTATAATAGATATACGAAAGAATAAGTAAAAATGCAAGTGGAAGTTATGAAAGTAATTATTTCTTCTGCACGTGACACATTTTGTGAGTGTGGGTGCGTAGTTTAGATTCTTGCCTTCACTCACACTCGTAATATGAGTTTCAAAAAACAAATCAGCTCATGCCAATGGAAAAAATCATTTTGAGCTTCTTCTCTATTCTATGAGTCTTGCTCATGAGCTCAAATGGAAGGTATCAGTTGATGATGTTCTCTCATAACACAAGCTTAAAATAATTCAGACTCATGGCCTACTGGTAAAGAGTTATGGTCGCTTAAATGAAATTTTTACTGAGAACAAGGCATTTCCGAAAAATCTAAAAAGAAAGACTTTCGACCTGAAAGTTTCCACAAAAATGACTGCTTTTTTGGATATTGAATATCTCGAGAAAGACATGATCGTTTTTGTTGAAACTTTCCAGACTATATAATGACTATCAAATGTGTCTATAGGCAAAACTTTAGGTCGAAACTTCGTGTTTTGAATTTTTCGAAAATGTAAAAATTTCATTTCAAACGGTCATAACTTTTTATCAATAGGCCATAGATCCAAATCCTTTCAAACTTCTCTTAGTCTCATCGGAACCTACTCGTAACCATAATACGAAATCGAACGGTGTCAGACAGTTGCATATCCTATGCAAGGAAATATTTTCTAAACTGTCTATAGATTCAACAAAATATATTGTCTATCAAATTCTAATTAATTTCAAGTGCTATTACTTCTAAATATAACTTAAAACATTAAATAATGATATAAAAATAAGAAAAAAAAAGAATACTAGGAACTTGTCTCCGCTCGCATTTTTATATACTGATAACAAAAAACAGATCTCTTATTGATAAGAAACAGAGATTTTAAAACATGTAAGTACAAAAAAAATACTCGTTGAACTCAAAAACAATTTATTGAATCAAAATATAGATTTTCAATTCAAGTATTTACCAAAAAATAGTTATTTTGCTATAAAATGATAAACTTACTTGTATAAGAGCTGGTAGAAAGAAGAAAAGTACCGATTCTGTATATTTATAAAATGTAATTAAATGTGAATCAGTCCAATGATCAGATAAACCACATATATAATATTGTGGACGATTATAAAATGGATGTAATTCAAGTAAATAAAGATTTGGTAAAGCCATAATAAATCCAAGAGACCAAATTAAAATAAATATTAAACAAAGACGTTTACGATAATTTATTTGAGATATTGTAATTGGATAAATTATTGAAATATATCTAAAAAAACAAATAATAATAATATTAAATATAAATATATATATGTTGTGGTCAAAATTAAAATTTCTATTTTGACTAGACAAAATTGAATTTTTTTTTGATGAACAGAAGAAATTAATACAAAAGAGAAAGTTAACATATTAACCAATTTGTTTTTATTTTACAACAGTTTTAAACAAATATTTTATGAATTCTAAATTAATTTAGTCTATCCCAGGTGAATGAGTCCGATACTGAATCCGGCCAGCCAACAAAATCCTATAGGAATCCGGGTTACGAAATCAGTAACGGATCCAACGGGCGAGTCCTATTCTATTAGTTGAGTACTAATTAGTATCTTATCCCAATAGTAGAGGTCGATCAGAGTCGTACGCTTGGATTCAATCGGATTCCAATAGTACGATCCGATCAGATTCAATACTCGGAATCCGAATGTCATTCCGTAACCCAGATTCCCATAGGATTTCGTCGATCTTATAGAAATTTCAATATAATCTGGTCGGATCCAAGAGGAATCCTCTAGGATTCGATTGTCGGAATCATTTTTCTGGGATGTTTGAGCATCCACTCCTTTTTTTGAATAACATTTGGTCGAGCAGAAGAGATTTTTTTTGATGGGCATATCTTCGCCTCACTTTTGTCTCGAAAATTACAAGTATGTTCGGGTGTGGAACCACGAGAGTAAAGCTTTCAAACTTCGATAATGATGACTAGTTTTAGATTATTAACATTGCTATATTTAAATACATTGAAACAAGCAACTTTTAAATTCAGGAATGGTTTGCCTACAAATGTATGTTCTCAAGCCTCATATTGACAAATTAATTTTCATAAAAACATTATTTTTTTCGATTTTTCCAAAAATGACACATGGCTTCAAAGCTTTATTGTCGTGGTTCCACAGCCGAACATAATTGTAATTTTTGAGACAAATGTGCGGCGAAGACATGCCCCGTGAAAAAAAACCTTTTCTGCTGTACCAAATGTCATTCAAAGAGGAGTGAATGCTTAAGCATGAACAAAATTAATTTAAAATTCATAAAATATTTGTTTAAAACTATTGTAAAATAAAAATAAATTGGTTAGTATGTTAACTTTCTCTTTTTTTTTAATTTTTTCTGTTCGTCAAAAAAAATTTCAATTTTGACCAGACAAATTTTAAATTTGACTGAATTTTAATTTTGACCACAACATATATTTATAGAAAGATTTTTGTACCTTTCAATACTAATAATAAGTAATGTTTGTACACTAACATAACAACCAAATACTTGTGCAAAACGAACTATTTTACAAAATGATAAACCAAAATACCAAGCCGTAGGCCAAAAATGATCAAATGAAAATTGTACGATATCAAATATATTAAAAATAATTATAATTAAATCTGCACATGACATATTTACAAGCAGAAGATTTGTTGATGAACAACGAATTTCTATATGATTTGTTATAGTTGATAATAAAACAAGACTATTACCAATTAGACCAATCATAAGAATAATTATAAAAAGTATAATAAGAAATATACGAAACCATTCAGATGGTCCATTTTGAATATTTATTAATATTGTTATATTCATTATGGAGTCTTTTCTTTTTCTATTGTTGAATACAATTAAATGTCAAATGACGAGAAAAAAAGAGAAGAAGCAGATATTTCTTGCATGCACGTAGTTAACAAAAAGAAAAAGTGAGAAAGAATTATGAATATCTATAAATAAATAGAGAAGTTAAACAAGTAAACTTATCAAAAAACAAATTTGCATATGGTAATAATATGTTTATATTAATCTATTTACCAAAAGAAAAACCGTACTGGCCAAGAAGAAAATCATTATATTGTGTTAATAGCAAGCTACTCTAATATATGCGAGATTCTTGTTCGATAATAGAAGAAAAAGCATGCCTACGTTCAATCTTAAAAGAGCGCACGAATAAGTTTTGTAGAAAATAATAGGATTATTTGATACTATTTTTAACAAAAAAAAAAACAAATAACGAGAAAACCTATATCATCATTCTAATTAATATTCTTCAGTTTGTTATTTATAATATTTGACGAAATATAATCATAAGAACAAAATTGTAAAGATATGTTTAGTTTTTATCAAATAATATGCAACAATTTATATTGATCTTATTAGTTATATGATCAAAATATCAATGGTTACAGACTTGTCATCTACTGTTTTTGATGTTATTCAGCTGTCAAATACACAATGATTTAAAGGAACAAAATATGTCATCAATCAATTTTCTTCTGTCATTCTATCGATAGATAAACCGATGTTTCTGTCAATTGTTGGATATGAGTAGGTGGGTGTATAGACATTTTTTTTTGCATTCCTTTAATATATGTGAGTGTATGTATGGCATTAAATTATGAAGTAATTTTTCTCATCTGCGCATATCCTTCCGTTAGGGTATACGTGATTTATTTTTATTATCAATACAATATCTTCTATATTTAAGTTTTTGGTTATTGTATTGACAAAAAAATAAAACAACATTTGTTAAACTTGATTCTACATGAACTTTCTCTCATCTCTAATAAAACAATGATAAAGTTTGATTTATTTTTATTTAAATTTTAAGTTGACTATCCATGACAACACAGTAGCAGCAGTTTCTATTAAAAAAAGATTGTAAAATTATATGAATTTACATTCGATTTGAATGTTTACAAGTCCAAAAGTCAGAATTCTCGTGAATCTAATTGTGCTAATGAGAAAATTATTCTACAAAAAAGAAAATAACTATAGGAATATTTAACTGTCACAAAAAAACTGAAACAGAATCATCTGATCTGATTAAATTTTTCGATCTGCTAATTTTTACTGGCGATGATCAACTTTTTTTTTCCACATTTGCTCACACATAATTTTGTCTGTGTTCACAAAAATTAGTTTAAAAAAAATTTCCATTTATTACAATATAACATAGAGTACTCGTTCTTTAACACAAGTTTAATGTAATATCATGAATAGCTGTGAGTGTTGATTGAATTTGAAGTGTGATGCAAATTAGATAATACAGTAGTTCAAAAAAGTCTTGCTAAGTATCTAAACTTTAATCTCATAATTTGACCACAATTTTTTTTTCAGATAAGGATATCTCACTATAGAAGACAAATTTAATGACTTTAGAGTTCTCATTCAATAGCTCAGTGCTGTCTCTATCACCAATAAAACTTCTATGGCAATTTGCCTTGATCGGAAAGTAACCGATATCTTTGGCTAATTTTAACCATTTTGCTTTGAAATTTTCTCCAATGAATCGATCTCGAGTTGCTGCTTGCAGTCAGTGTTTACCGAGCTCTGTTTATAATGAAAATATCAGACAAAAGGTTTGAAGTTTATGTACTTTTTACCCGATAGTGGGACTTCTTGTGACCACTGTATTCCAATAATAGCGTTCAGGAAAAAAAAATATAATTAATTCTAAGACTTATTTCACTTTCGCTACTTTTATTATGAAGTTAATTAAAAGCAGATTTTTATTTATTTTTTCTATAGTTTGTATCACAAAAAAAAACATAATTATCTACAAGAAAAATTAAGTTAATTAATTTTATTAGTAAAACCAACCGATCGCATGCTACCCTTGAGAGCTCGATATTGTGAAGCAAATTCTTTATCATATAATTTGCGTTCTTCAATACGTTTCTGTTCGACAGATTTATAAGCTGTTTGATTTTGTAAAGCCATTCGATAAAGAGCATCAAGATCAGATTGTTTATGTGTTGTAACAAATTTGCCTTGAATTAATTTTCGTGGATTTGATGCTCCCATTGACGAAAATGAATAAAATGAAGATGTATCAAATGATTGTTGTTGTATTTGTTGTCGTATCATATTATTTGAACTAGTTGGACGTCCATCAAGCATATTTAATAATGGATTAATTCGATGTGAACTAGTTAATTGTTTATTAATTGGTGATGTTTTTGGACGAAATAAATTTTCATTAAGATTAATAACAGGATCAGAAGGTTTTTCACGTTCATTTTCTAGTAATAAAAGTAATGGACGAAGTGGTTTAGATGAAATTTCATTTGATAATGATGATGATGATGTTGTTTGTTTACGAAGTATGGGTTTTATTTTTTTTTGTCTAAGTTTAATTGATTCTATAAAATATTAAATTAAAATTAAAACTTTATACATAAAGATAACACTGATAGTGATCTATAATGGTTGTCTAATATCGAACGTGCAGTGCAAATTTCTATCGAGCATGTAAACATGACTTATTTTTCTAATAGAAATACTTAGAGGTATCCAAAAGTAGTAGCGCCATTACCAAATTTTCTTCCTTTATGAAAAGATAGAGCGTCTTTCACTCTATTTTTCTATGCTATTTGATTACTATTCAAGTGATATCATAATAATAAAATTTCGGTAAAAACTGTTTTTTTGTTGAAAAATAGCCGGTGGCATTCGATCATAATGGATGGAACATTTTTGTATTTCATTTTATTATCATTTAATAGGTTGTATTAAAAAAAACGAAATATACCATAAGATGCAGCGTGAAAAACTCTACAATTTATAAAGGACGGCTTATTTTATAGTTGCTCTTTTTATTGTCAAAATGGACGAAATTCTGAGCGACAAAATTTCGACATCGGAAAGACCAGGTGCCTTTTTTGGTAACAGACGAAATCGTTTTTTCTTATCACATCTTTTTATTATCAGATCTATTGTATTAATAAAAACCAAAATACACTACAAGACGCAGCGTGAAAGGCTCTACAATTTACAAAGAACCATTATGAAAAGATGCGATAGATGAAAAAAAAGAATGCGTCTTTTACCAAAAAACAATCCCATTCTTGCAACATCAAAATTCGGTCGCTCAGACTTTCTTCCATTTTGATAATAAAAAGAGCAACTATAAAATAAGCCGTCCTTTACGAATTGTAGAGCTTTTCATGCTGTATCTTATGGTATATTTCGTTTTTTTTAAATACAACCTATTAAATGATAATAAAATGAAAAGCAAAAGTGCCCCATTCTTTTATGCCACATCCATCATGATCCAAATGACACCAGCTAGTTTTCAACAAAAAACAGTTTTTACCGAAGTTTTATTATTATGATATCACTTGAATAGTGATCAAATAGCATAGAAAAATAGAGCGAAAGACGCTCTATCTTTTCATAGAGAAAGAAAATTTTTTCAACATTTCCATAAAGAAATTTGGTAATGGCGCCACTACTTTTGGATCTCCCTAAGTATTAGCTTCTTGTACTGCAAAAATAAGAAAGATCATTTGCAATGAAAAATCCCTAAGAAGGATCCTTATTCTAAACTCCTATGAAAAAATTTTTTATTTCAAAAAAGTGGCAAATAGTACATCAGCCGATGCTAAATATGTCTTTACTTTTCTCTCGAAGTGCTTCTGTGACAAAGAAATTGCGAAAAACTTTTAGAACATTTGTACATCTTTGCGCTAACTGTACATATGTCCGAGATATAGAAGAACATTGTCTGAAACTTTCGTCGATATCAGATTAGTGATAGTCAACTTTTGCTGAGGATATCTTTTCGAAAAAAAAATATTCATTATTTTTTCAGAACGAAAACTTTTCTTATAACTCGATAGAGCAGAAGTCCTAGTTTCAGATTTATTGTCCAATTCTTCGTATTTTTTACGACAAAGTTTTTTCAATGAATTTAGCAACTGAGACAAAATTTTCTTTTAGTTGTTAATCCAAGTATATAAACTATGATTCAAATTCACATTGTTATCTACTGTGTACAATATTCTATTCCAATGGCTGTTTCATCAATGCCTCTTCTGAAAATGCTATGGTGAGTAAAACCTTAAGAAAATTCTCTGCGTTAGTAATAACATATAATTTGAAATTAACTAAAGTTTATTTATTTATTTTTTTTTTCGTTCTTCTTTTTTTTTATTTTATGATGTCTTATAAATAATAATCACTATCGATGACTACGTCATCAAAACTTTCATATGTGACATTGATACAAATGAACTTTTCTTTCTACAATTCAAATTCATTTTTCTGATTGTTCAAATTCAAAGTTAGCAATGAGATCCTAACAATCAATGCTTGTTTTGATCTGTCACAGGACGAAAATAGCATTGATTGTTTGCAACTTCATTGCTAATTCTGATTTAAATAATGAATTCATCAAAATTAAATCTTTATTTTAAATAAGAAAATTTCAATTATTATGTATTGAGAAAAGAAATAGTTAAATTTGATTAAATTATAAATAAACAAACCTATTAATTCTTTTGCTTCATCTTGTGCTATTTCATGTGCATGTACTTGTTTCCATGCTTGATATGCTCGAATTGGTTTAATAACTCGAACAACATTTGTAAAATGATATCTTAAACCTTGTTCTTGTCGATGTATTCGAGCAATATGTGATTCTAAATCATCATGTAATAAAGTAACATTACGTTGTAAACGACGATATTCAAGTTTATTAAGACGTGTTGCTTGAATTTGACATGCGCTTAAAACAACTGCGCCTCTCCTACTCTTCCTCATATTTGATTTGTAACTTTTCTTTTTTTCAATTTTATTATATGAAAATGGAA